TCCATCCATCCATCCATCCATCCATCCATCCATCCATCCATCCATCCATCCATCCATCCATCCATCCATCCATCCATCCATCCATCCTTTTTAGATGCCAAACTATAATTTGTGTTCGATATTGAGGAGCACCTGAAACTCCCTTCAGGTGGTGATGCTCCTCCTCTTGATCAGGAGGAATCTTGTTAGCTGCTTCCATTTAAGACCTGATTTTTTCAGACATGATCTATATCTCATGGTCAGAGGTGAGGAATGGAAAGTATATGGACTAGAAAATCAAGAGCTTTGCCATTCATGTTTGCATAATCTCCAAATAGATCTCCAATCCACACATTCTTCTCCCTATACTGTATGCTCTAAGGTAGAGCATTTCTTCATCCCCTTTTCTAGTTTAAAACCGTGACTTCAGATGGTTTGGAAATGCCGCTCAGATTATGATCTGGGTTTTGGAACTTTGCTGAACTGGAGAGCAAAATAAGACAATATTTTTCTCTCTACAGACCCAACACAAAACTCTCCGTAAAGTAAAGCAGATGATGAAAATATTTGTTTCCGTTATATCTTAAAATTCCATTTAACAATGCTTACAATTCTGGATGGCTATTAGAGTGAAGAAAGTGTAGTAAATCAAAGGTATATGATTGTAAAAATTTATTTCAAAAACATAAATAAAGAACTGTGTGAACCTGGAGCACAACTTTCATTTATTACTGTTTGACAGCAAAATAGTTTCAGTCAGGCTAAATCTCTTCATCTGGCACACCCGAAGAGAAAGATTTAACCAGGTTTAAAGCGTAAGAAAAATATTTACACTATTACAACTTAAGAAATCTAGATTATATTTATTTCCCTATTACCACTTGGAGCAAAAATATGTCTAGTTAGTCAGACTGTGACCTTTATTATCACCACACATAACCACTCACTGTTTACAGTTTACAGAAGGGGATTTTGTAAAGTGAAATAAAGAAGAAAGTAAAACTCACAGTGCTCTGCACACCACAGTTTGGCCTCATTATAACCTTGAAATTCTCACATTTCAGGTTCAACTAAGCAGAAGTAATTTGGTTTGATTCCCCAGTTTCTACTCTGCAGCCCACTTTCTGCAGAGACACACAGCCGGGGTGTTTCCCTGTGAGACACAATGAACTGTAGCTAATCATAAAAAAATCATTGTAAAGCCCAAACAACAGAATTCAAATCCCCAAACATGCACAACCCACAACTTTTGGACAAAATGTAATTTAATGTTGATTTGATTTTGTTTACTAGCATTATGTTGAAGCTCAGAGCTATAAAGTGAAAGTGAGACGTACTTGCCTTTGAATTTCTCTCACTCTTCACTGCTTCACCCTCCACGACCCACTCATTATTGATGGCTCTCAGTGAAGTAGTCTCAGAGCAGCCGAGCGTGAGACGGCCTTCCATCCAATCTCCATATTAAGGACCAAAGGAAAGGTCAGCCTGGCCACGTCTAAACAGTTATTGACAGGTTAGGAGTGTTGCTGCAGGGCGAGAGGGGAGGAACGGTCAGTAACGCAGATAATTACCACACAGCTGTCAAATGGGCATGGTGGAGAATGAGCAGCTGAAGGGGGGACATTATGCAAGCAGCAGGTGAGGGCTTCAGCTTAATGCAGTGATAATAGAAGAAGTAGTACAAAATAAAATGTAATTTTACATGTTATGGAGTTTATGGCGCAAAGGAACAAGTGTTACACACTAGAATACAGATGGTAGAAAATAATATGAGCTCAGCTTTATCTGCTTCACAAAATGTAAAACATATCATGAGCATTTCTAACAGACTCAAAGCTCCAGTTATACATTTAAAAACAAGTTTGCTTAAATATTTGCAACCTCAACCTGAAATCATGTTCACCTTGAAGATCAAGCGTCAAACAAATACTTGTACAGCACAGAAAATTTAGGGTTGGTTTATGTGCCAATATTGACATTGATGCTGCATTCATTTTGAGCTTTTAATTCATTTTCCTCAACAATAAACAGTTTTCTTTAATCAGCAAAGGGTCAAAAGTAAACAAGAAAGCTTAAGCATACATACTTGCACTTACACCTTTTAGTGCAGTAAGTGATAGAAAATGTAGTCTTTCAGGTGAAAGGCCTATTATCTTCCTCTTAAAGATAATAAGTGAGTGCAGCTGCCAGAATAGAAAGGTTTATTTAGTACTGAGTGACTAGACCAAAGCTCAGACCCACTCAGAAAAAAAAGACAGAATCTTGGATTATATTTTACAGAAGGGTGTGCAATTTTGATCTGTTAAAATGAAACAACACTGGTCAGGAGACATTCAGAACACCAGTTTGACTACCCACAGTGGAATATTGTAGCATTTTTTCATGTTGCAAATCTAATTGTTGCGAGTCTTTGTATTTTATTTATTATCCATTTTATTTTTCCACAGTAATTCAACAATAGAGGTTTTGGCCTTCTTTTAAACAGTTGATCCTCTTTGTTTGAGGAGTCTTTGTGCAAAGCAGGTTAGAAAATAATCACAAGGTTAGGTAAATATATGATACAAATACTATCATTAAGGAAAAATTATGAAAATAGTGTCACAAATTGATGCAGTACATAAAGTCACTGCAATATCTTTTTACTTTTTGTTATTGAAGATGTGCCTTATCTGTGTCTGAGCACTTACTGTTTTATGGAGAGTGAATGTGTGTGTTTGGCTCTTTTTCATCTGTTTGACAAGAGGAATATTTGGCGGCATCGAGAAGAGACTTGATGATGGAAAAAAAACACTGTACTAACTGTCAGTAATGCTGGTGGCAGCATCATGCTGCGGGACTGCTTTGCTGGCACTGGTGCTGGTACATTAAACCAAGTTAGGAACTATTTTTTTAACCATACCCCTACATAACCCCTACATTATTTTGAAGGGGTCTGATTATACTTGAGCAAAGAGTTATAGTTTTGAACCTGCATAGATGAGATCAAATCTACAGCCAGTTAACACCTGTACAACAAATTCACCTGTAAAACAAATTCCTGGTTTTAAAATGTTGCTAAAGCAGTTCAACTAAATAAATAAAAGGAAAATGCCTCATATTTGTGTACCAGATGAGTATGTAAGCCTCTGACTGTTGTGTTTTTTTACTTAAAAGAAGATGCCTAGATATAATATTTTTTTTAAATATATATTTGTCACGAAGCACCCTGAAACTATGTTCATATTTCTCCTCTGCAGATCCATCAGTGCACCACAGGCAAAAGACGATGGTGACGGATATGTGCTACCCGACAGAGATATCCAGCCTGATGGACTTTGGCACTGCAGACTGCTCGCTAGGCAAAGGTACATTGTTGCTCGAAATTACAAGCTGTTGCCGTGGTGACAGCAGGAAGTGAGCATGGTGATTTGTCCTCGCAGTTAAAAGGACGCAGGGCTGTCAGCTTGGCTCAGGGGGTGAACGGCGGAGCGAAAAGGCCTTCGCAAGTGAGAACAATCAGATAACAACACTTGTTGTCTGGCCATAAGGGCCCTTTTGCATTCACTGCAGGCCTGGATTTATCTCAGCTGAAAGTCTAATCTGTTCTGTCACGTATATATCTCAGTTCCTATTGATCATGAGACTTCCACTGAGGAGAATTCTACTTTGCAGATTGCTTTGGAGTTTGCTGAAATGTATCGCTCGAGTTGGATTGTAATGGGCCGTTATAGCATCGCATCATGATGACTTATCTTCCACAATTACCAGCATCAGCATTACAATCGTAATGTTTTATGAGGAGGCTTATGCAGCTCAGTATGATTGCCTCTTTTCACTTCATCTTCTGTAGTAATCATCCCTATCAATATGCAACTACATCATAAAAGGTATTGATCAGGGTGCTTGTTTCATCCTTTTGTTTGGACGCATCCTTTTTTTTCATCTCAACACCAAGTTGCCATTATTTGTAGAGCTCATTGTGATTTTAAAAATAGTAGTACCCTTACAGATGTTGCCCTTGTCTGTTACCCATAAATAAGGATCCAGTAGAGAACCCAAATGCAGAGACGCAGGCTGAGGTGGCTTCTTGCAGATTTTATAATTAGAATGGGGGCAACAGAAGCATAAAACTGAAAAGGAGGAGTATATAAGCCAAACAGAACAATGGATGGAGTTATCAAATGATTGGGAGCAGACATTAACAGGACTTAAAATATAACAAGAAAAGAACTTAAATGACACAAAACGGAAATGAAATTAATGAATTAGAAAACACAGAATGACATAAATCAAATTATAAAAGAAAGTGAAGTGAAAACAGAACCAAAAATCCACATCAGGAGATAATGACACCAAAGTATTCAGTGGAAATATTCTATAGACCAATGAGGCACAAGCAGTATTTTAGAAAGGTTTAGATTTGCTGATTTTGGAGTAAACTAAGAGGAATCCTTCATACTAAAAGCCAAATATTTTTGGCTCATGATCTAGACTTACAGTTAATGATGAAACCATGAATTGGGTGCTGATCCTTCAGCTCTACATTACTCAGTCAAGCAACGAACTGAAACAGAATCAGTGCTTGAATCCTTCAGTGATAAAGATAAATAAAAATAGTCAGGAGTTGGCAGACATAAAACTTGAGGAAATTTGTTGGTCAAAAAATATTTATTGGATTTAGGGCATAATTACTTTTTCACATAGAAACATTACATGAGGTAATTATTTGACCAGTGCATTTTGTATTTACTCAGGTTATCTTTGTAAAATAAAAAAATCCTTTTAATGATGTGAAACATTCATTTGTGTAAGAGGTAGCATCAAATCCCTGCAGACACAGCTCATCAATCATATAATAGGAGATTAGTTTTCCCGATGAACCCAAGACAAGGCTGATAAGAAATCAGGTTTTACCATAAAAACACCAGAATTTCTATAAGTTAGGGGGTAGAAGTGGTGTAGGGTTACAGTTAATACAATAACAACGATAATAACAATCAGTGATAGTGTATCCTGAGGCATTATTTGTGTGTGTTTTAGCTAATGCATACTTTAAAATAGTTTTGGGTATAAAACTTGTTACTAAAAAAATACAATGTCTTCAATGAAGAGGCTTATGCACTTCTTAGAAATTTAGTTTTGGCTGACATATGTTACAATATCATGTATTAGTAAGCTATCTCAAGTAAAATAGAAGAGTATTGTGCTACCTAGGCTTCACAACAGTCTAAAAACAAAGCTAAATTCTCAGAGCAAACATCCTCACATAGATTTTAATTTACCGTAGTATCAACTTAAAGGTATAGTGGAGGATTTCCGTGCATCTTTTCGTGCATCTTTTTAAAAAAAATGCACATGCACAACCCTGTATCCGCTCCTGAGATGGAACGCTTATTAAACACGTTCAAGAGCATGCACAAGCTCATTTCTCCTCGTGCATGCTCTATTTAAAAGTTAGTGTATGAATCGCTCATACAAGCTTACTTTCCAAAAGAAGATTTGCATTTTTTCCTACTATGTCGAACTCACTACCAATAAGTAAAAATTGGGAACATATCACCAGAATCACTGACAATTAGGAGAACCGCTCATTTTGATGATCCACCTGGAAAAAGAACATCCTCCACTATACCTTTAAATCCCAGTTATAAATGCAGCTTTTACTAGGTCTTTGAATTGTATTCCTATTTATGCTGCAGGACAGACAATTGTCTTATTTTTGTTGTTTTTTTCATCAACAGCAAGTGACAGATGTGACCCCAGAAACTAATTTCGCCCTGAGTATCCCTCAGGATCTCTACCTTTTTACCTTTCTTCCCTCTCTGCGACCCAGTTTGTATTTTAATGCTGCTCTCTATCAAAATGCTGCAGCAGTGTTAATGCAGAGTGGCAGGTCAGCTGTGTGTGGCTGATAGAAAGTAGTGCAGTGCAGCAGGGGAAGATGCAGGGGAGAAAAAGTCTGTTTTTCAGGCATTAACTGTGAGCAAAGCAAATGAATGACACAGAGATACAGGGAGTTGAGCTGAAGAATAAGGACACAGAGGGGTGGAAAATTTCAAACTGAGGAGGTGTCAGGATAAAAGCGGGACTGTAAAGGATTCAGCAATGCTTAGAGGCCAGCTTCACCATTACTTTTAAAATTTAAAGTGCTATATTTTGTAAAAAAAAACAACTAAAAAAACACCTCCTTATATGAAATATTTACTCCCTTCAGGCTCATTCCAATAGCTGTTAAAGGTGTTTTTTTTTTTTTTTAACAAGAGAATTTTACCCTATAATTAGTTTGTATTTGTAATTTATTTGTTGGTTTAAAAAAAATACCTGTTATTTTATTAGCAAATAAAATGTTAAAATTTGTCACAATTTAGAAAAAATCTCACAAATAGTAAAAAATATAATAACTTAGCAATGCTCCAATATTAGTTTTATTTCAGGTGAGAAGAAGTCAGGGTGGAGCAACATCTACATGAACAGCAAAATGTATTTGTTAATCTTTTTCAATGATTTTCTTCAATAAAATAAAAAACTGGGGACATATTCAAACTATGCATTCTCTAAAAGGTGGGAAATACAATTTTAGAAATGTTGCAGCTTTAAATCTGTTTAAATGTGCACTGTATGAAAAATGCATTTGAAATTTAATGTATGAAGTCAAACTGAGGAATAGTTTAAATGTGGAACAGAAGCAACTTCCACATCTATCTGTTTGGATCCCCATTATTCCTTTGTGTTGCTGGTTTTTTTCCCTCGTTGTTACAGTTTCTGAAATGTTTCTACTGTGGTCCATTTCTGTTTTTTTGCTATTCTTGTTCTTGTTATATTTTCCCCCTAAATTTCTTCCCATCTTTAAATACTTTTTGTTAAATAAGTGTCTTCCTTGGGGGTGCAGCCGTGGTGCAGGGGTTAAGCCTGTGACCTATGTACAGTCTTTAGCCTTTGGTCTGCAGTTGTGACAGGTTTGAGTCCCGGCCTGATGACCTTTGCTGCATGTCTTCCCCATCTCTCTAATCCCATGTCCTGTTTGCCTTCTTTCAAAAAATAACAAAACTAAAGGCCACTGCAGATTTGAAAAATACATTCTCATAAATCTCTTGCCCTCAGCTCCCTGCTTTCACCCAGCCTCAGCTGTTCCTTGTTATCAGTCACACGAAGCCTACTGCCATCCTCCATCTTCCCTTAGTATTTAGAAGGAACTGCTTTTTGTTTTATGCCTGTTTTTCTGCGGAAATTTAGGATATCGTCAGAGATGCGTGGTGAACCAAAAAAATTTACTATGCTAAAAGAAGTAAAAGTAAAAAGTAGCCTTTAAAGAAATTTCTCAAGAAACGGTTAAAAAGTATTTGGTAAGAAGGCTACACAGTTACTGAGTACTAATCTACTTACTACCCGTGACTATAACAACTAATTTAATATTTTTTTAGTTATAAACCTTCCATCAGTATCGGTTGTTATATAGAAAAATCAATAGTTACATAGAATAGGTAAAAGGCATTGTTGAGGATTTTTTAAATGACCCGCCCTCTCCACTTTAAAAAAAATGTGCATGCAAGAGCGTGCACAAGCCCATTTCTCTTCCTGCACAACCTGTTTAAAATGTGCTGTTCTCATAGTTCATACAAGTGTACTGTGTCCATATGCAGCAGGGACTTTAAAGTGGACATTATAGCAAACTTATTTAACTGACCGTTCGGACAGATGATCACTGCTTTTTGCTCCGTCATGTAACTCCTTCTCCGTGCAGTGCCTGCACCATCTTTTTCATTTGTCACCACTGTCAGGTAGCGACAGGCTATGGCGACAGCGGGCCACTGTGACTGCAAATCCCATATTGCTTTGCGAGGAGAGCTCTCCATGCAAAGCATTCCAGGATATATATGCCTCTTCTGAGGCCTTTCTATTCTTCTCATACAATTCAGAGACACTTTTTCTTGGCCATTTTCAAAGAGCCACGGTGAGAAAGGTGATCTTCAATGACTGTAGCTCACCACAGATGTACATACGCCCGAGAGCGTGCAAGTGCAGAAAAAGATAGCTAACGGGACAAGCACGTAGGACAGCCTTACGGAACATATCACTAGAAAGACTGACAATTAGAAGGAACACTTATTTAGACTAAATTTAAGATTGTCTTCTATACCTCTAAGGACAGTAAACTGTTTACTGTATTATCACCCACCTCCAACTAACACAGCAGACTCTGCTTTATCATAGTTTTACTCAAGTAAAAGTAAAAAGTACAATGCTGTGTAACTAATCCTAAAAATACATTTTTATTATAAAGTTGCCCATGTAAATGTAACTCGGTAAATGTAACTAGTTACTACCCACCTCTGGATATCATCTCTCGGTTAGTCTGCCTTCCTTT